AAAAATATTTTCTTTTGTTTTCTGATGGAAAACATGAAATGCTTAGATTTATTGATCTGGTTTGTGGTTTTTGCAGCAATGGTTCAGTGAGGGTACATTTACATTTACAGATTTAGGAATGCGTGTGTGGCATTATGCAAGAGCTAAATCTGCCTATTGCAGGTCTTTCTTTAGGCCTGAAATGTTTTCTAAAGTATTAATTACATGTAGACATTAATTAACTGATCCAGGCCTTAATCAACTCTCGATGGCATCAGATTACTCCGATATTAAATAGATTAGAATGGTTCAGCGATTCTTTGATTTAATCAAATATGGAGGACCGAGACTTAGCTTCGATCAACCAGTACGGTTGTTGAAATTATTGCACACGTCTGTCAAACCTTCAAAGGCTAATATCTTCGCTCGCAATAGAGTAATTTGAATGAAATATTCAAATTATTCATTTTACATCATCTACTTTCGAACTATTATAGCAAGAATGGCTAGTTCTTTATCTAAATCTTACATAATGTATCTTTAAGAAATTTCAGAAAAAGTAAGATATGTTTTATTGCGCTAAAATATGAACTTTAAATGAGGTTTAGCATCCACTCGACACAAACTAGGTTATTTCGGGTCTAAGATATGTTTCAATTTAATTTCAATAATTCGCTTGCGCGTAGGGGTCTTAGCAGTGGGAGGACACAGAAGGTCCCGGAGAAAACCCACGAGGTTGGACAGGCGTCCCTACTCCTTGCCACGTACAACCGTACTTGCCACGCCAGTTGACTCAATGACAGACTTTATGATACAACGCACAAGTGCTAACCATTCGCCGCACCCCTTCAATAGTTTAAAATGAATAGAAATAAACCGAATTGGGGTTCTGATCCGACTGGGCTAATGAAGACGGACAAACGTCATACAGTGTACTATGAGGAAATCTTGCCCGTACAGAGGCACCACGGCCTACTCTTATATATGAATATCGAAATTTAACTGCCAACGGTTATTTTACGTGCATGCCAATTTGTACACGTGGCCCCGGGTTTTCTTGTCATCTGAACGACTATTTGTTATTCCTGGTCAGAGATTGAAATCGAAACAAAGGAATCTCCTGGTGGTTCCCAAGATATCGGCAGAACGTCAAACCATCATTTGATTCAATTAAACATACATTATGCAAGAGCTAAATCTGCCTATTGCGGATCTTTTTTGGGGCCTGAAATGCTATCTAAATTATTAAATAGACATTAATGAACTTATACAGACCATAATCAACTCTCGATGGCATCGCTAGCCTGCGATATTTACTGGATTGGAATCCGATCTGCTGGTCAACGTTCATTGATGATTAAATCGAAATGTGGATAATCGAGAATATGTTTTTTATCTTACCGACTTTAGTAATGATGATCGAGGCTACGCCTAATATTATCTAGTTTTTAACTATTATAGTGAGAGCTACCAGCTCTTTATCTAATCTCCCATAATGTATCTTTAAGCTTTTGTTTTTGAAATATTTGGGAATAAAAACGGTTCAAAACGGGCAACATTTCCCTCATAGCGTATTCCGACTTTGAACGTATTTACGCAAAATGTCTTATTAACTAGGTCAAGATATCAAATGACGGAACAGCGAATGATTGAAACTTGACAAACTTGACTACTGTAGCACCCTTGACCTTTTCGTGACGTTGATGTGACGTGACGTGAAACTCAATAAGCCATAAAACAAACACAATATTAGACGACTTGACACTCGAGACAAGTATGTCACTGTAATAACGTTAGATTGTCAGGTCGCTCCTTTTTTTATTGGTTTAAAAGAATAGTTGATGTGCGCACAATGGAGGGATTACACTATCACATTCTAATAAAAGGAACAGAAACGACACGAAATGGACTAGGTTTTACCGTTCTATTTTACGGCACCGATTGGGAAAATGAGAACGAGCATACGCCATAAAAGGAAAATTTGCATATACATGTACTATGGTCTACTCTTATTTCGAATTCCAACTGCCAAGCGTTTTTGTGCACGCGGGACCTCAGGTTTTCGCCCCACCGTAGTTTTATTTCTGGTCTGTGATATGGAAGCAGGCGTGGAACGTCTACTAGTCAGTCATTCAGTTCGGCGCTCAACTAATCCTGCAGAGTTTGTCCCATCACAAATCGAATAGTGTTCGTTCCATCACTAACCATACAGAGCTTGTCCCATCACTAATCGTATAGAGATTGTCCCATCTTTAAACGTAAAGAGTCTGTCCCATCTCTAATCGTATAGAGATTGTCCCATCACTAATGGTATAGAGTTTATCGGTCGCCATCACTAATGGTATAGAGTTTATCGGTCGCCCTTACTAACCCTATAGAGTCTGTCCCATCACTAATCGTATAGAGTTTGTCCCATCTCTAATCGTATAGAGTTTGTCCCACCACTAATCGTATAGAGATTGTTCCATCTCTAAACGTAAAGAGTCTGTCCCATCACTAATGGTATAGAGTTTATCGGTCGCCATCACTAATGGTATAGAGTTTATCGGCCGCCATTACTAACCCTATAGAGTCTGTCCCATCACTAATCGTATAGAGTTTGTCCCACCACTAATCGTATAGAGATTGTTCCATCTCTAAACGTAAAGAGTCTGTCCCATCACTAATCGTATAGAGTATGTCCCATCTCTAAACGTAAAGAGTCTGTCCCATCACTAATGGTATAGAGTCTGTCCCATCTCTAAACGTAAAGAGTCTGTCCCATCACTAACCCTACAGAGCACGTTCCATCACTAATCGTATAGAGATTGTCCCATCTCTAAACGTATAGAGTTTGTCCCATCTCTAATCGTATAGAGTTTGTCCCATCACTAACCCTACAGAGCTCATTCCATCACTAACCCTACAGAGTTTGTTCCATCACTAATCGTATAGAGTTTGTCCCATCACTAACCCTACAGAGCTCATTCCATCACTAACCCTACAGAGTTTGTTCCATCACTAATCGTATAGAGTTTGTCCCATCACTAACCCTACAGAGCTCGTTCCATCACTAACCCTACAGAGCTTGTCCCATCACTAACCCTACAGAGTTTGTCCCATCACTAACCCTAAAGATATTGTCCCATCACTAACCCTACAGGGTTTGTCCCATCACTAACCCTACAAAGTTTGTCCCATCACTAACCCTACAGAGTTTGTCCCATCACTAACCCTATTTAGCTTGTCCCATCACTAACCCTACAGAGTTTGTCCCATCACTAATCGTATATTGCTTGTCACATCGCTAACGCTACAGAGCTTGTCCCACCACTAACCCTATAGAGCTTGTCCCATCACTAACCCTATAGAGTTTGTCCCATCACTAACCCTATAGAGTTTGTCCCATCGCTAACCCTACAGAGTTTGTCCCATCACTAATCGTATATTGCTTGTCACATCACTAATTCTACAGAATTTGTCCCACTGTACTATCAACCTCCGAGGAAGCCTACAGCAAGAGGACCCGAATTCTCCAATCCAAGTTTACAAATCTGGAATTCTCTAACACCTAGTTTGTTGTGTGATGAGTGATCTCAACACACTCATTGTAAAAACGATGAATGGACTTCACATATAGACAAAATACAGTCTACTTATAACATAAGTATCCATGCTTTAAACGTGCGGGGAGTCACGGTGGCTCAGTTAGTAGGGGTCGCTATCTGGAGGTCCTGTGTCCAGTAACTGTGTTGGCCGAGAAAGTACATCGGGATTTTTCGGCACGGTTCCTCCTTGTCAGTGGTGCAGGACCAGGGGCCTGGCAAGGGACGTGTATAGTCGTTCGGATGGGACGAAAAACCGAGGCCCCGTAGACACATTGGCGTGTACGTTAATGATTCCTTAGCAGTTGGAATTCGATATAAGAGTAGGCCGCTGCCCGGGCACAATTTCCCTCATAGCACACTGTATGGCGTATACCCGTCTTCATTAGTCCAGTCGGGGCAAAACAGCTGGACGTTAAACCCCATTTCATTTCATTTTAAAACGTGGTTTCCGAGTCAACAAAGGGACCTTACTCGAAAAAGAAAGTCAATGGGCGTCCTCGCCAGAAATAAGGGGGCATAATTTGTAGGTGCCACCATAGAGCAGGCGGTCTCACGTGACCTGATTATTTAGGGAGATGCTAATTGTAGGCCGGTTGGGGAGATAAATGTGGGTATTTGGGGAATACTAGCGACGCCTGGTAGGAACCCCTTCAGCGTGGAAGCGAGTTGTTACTAGCGATGCCTGGCGGGAATTCCTTCATCGAGGACGCCCATTGACAACACACTTGTTGATATAACAAATCAGACCAGATCAACCTCATTTCATGCGTTACCCTGACCTAAATCAAAACCGTTTACTATTTCATTGGTTTCGTCACGACTTTTTTGTCTTGAAAATATCAGGCTACGGAAGCCTTACTTGTATGTAACATCCAGAATCCAACTGGAGAGACATATGAAGCCATTAAAACCTGTAATAATTCTATAATTATTTATATATTTCAGATACCGTCATGACGAACACATCAATACTACAACAGACAGTGCAATTAACTGAATAGTAAAAACCACATGCAGCAATAACAACCTCTTAAGAGATTAAAATACGTTTTAATAACTTCACGACGGAATATACTTCAACCTGCGAGTTTAAAACGTACAACAGAGTCTTAAGGGATTAAAATACGTTTTAATAACTTAACGACGGAATATACTGCATACTGTGAGTTTAAAACATACAGCAACAACAGCCTCTTAAGGGATTAAAATACGTTTTAATAATAACTTAACGACGGAATATACTCCATATCCTGTGAGTTTAAAACGTAAAATAACAACAGCCTCTTAAGGGATTAAAATACGTTTTAATAATAACTTAACGACGGAATATACTTCATCCTGCGAGTTTAAAATGGATTAAAGAGGTTACAGCGTAACGCATGAATGGCAGTACCACGAAACCTTGTATAGCTGCAACGTTAAATAAGTGCATGAGGTTTTGTGTTACTCCATAAAATTGTTATTCGGGCTACGATTATTGTAATGTAATTCTGTTATGCGATTTTGTAATGATATAATATAATCCATTGGAATCATCCACTTACAGCAACAATGAGTTCTCCGACAGTATCCATGGTCGAAGATTGGCTTGATCAAAATCCCGAGGCGTTTCAGGACTATTTCTTAAAGAAAGCCGACCTGGCATTAGTCAACCGGTGGCTGGTGCAACATGGATTCCACAATCTCCAGGAATATATCTCTGGGCGACTGGGTTCGGTGTCCAACGAGGGCAGCACTCCGTCATCGCCGATCATATCCGAATCCGGAAACTTTGACTTTAAACACAGTCGATCGAATTCTAAGAAACATCTAAGGCACGATTTTGCCAGATCTAAGATGCGGAACATGTTTCGGACGTACGAACCGTCTACGTCTCCGGATTCGGGTGTTGATGCAAGAAGGAGCAGCCTAAAGGAAATGAGACAATTTCGATCACTTCCGCCCAATTCCGTGAACATGCTCAGTATGTTGATACAATCAAGAGTGCGTTTACCGCGATATCCCAGTAAGGATATCGACAGCAAGCGCGAACTGCGATTTACCAATGAGAAGGAATTCTTTCTAGAAATAGTCAAGGATATCTCTAACGATCTGGATCTTAGAAGTTTAAGCACGAAAATTGTGGCTAACCTGTGCGTTTTGGTTGACGCAGATAAAGCGTCCATTTTCATGATAGAAGGAAAGAACACCACTAAACCGACACTTGTGTCTAAAATATTTGACGTTCATGCTGGTTCCGATATGTTACCCTCCCTGACCGGGGACGGTAGTATACGGATGCCGTGGGGAAAAGGGATTATTGGTTTTGTAGCAGAGACAGGAGAAACAGTTAACCTGGACGGAAACGCTTGCAAGGTAAGACACCTTTATTATTTATTTGACTTTTATTTGTTGATATTTAATTTGATGATATTTAATTTGATGTAATCATCTATACAGAGCAATAAAATCAAACCAATGAATGACTGCTCTAAGTAGCAACACAAACCAGTCAATGGTTGCCCTAAGTAGCAACACAATCCAGCCAATGGCTGCACTAAGGCGCAACACAATCCAGCCAATGGCTGGCCAGCCAATGGCTGCACTAAGGCCCAACACAATCCAGCCAATGACTGCTGTATGAAGCAACATAATCCAGCCAATAGATGATCTAAGACGCAGCACAATCCAGCTAATGGCTGCCCTAAAATCTAGACGAACGGCTGCTCTAAGGAGCAGCAAAATCCAACCAATGTCTGCTCTAAGCCGCAACAAAATCTAACTAATAACAGATTTAAAAAAATAAAGATAAATTGCACACCATAGAGCAGTCCGAATATAGATATCAGCAAACCACAGATCTACATATTAGGAAACGATGTTAAAAAGTACGTCTTAAGTTGTTTTTAAAAAGTTGGCTTTAAAAAGTACACCTTAAGTCGGCTTTAAAAACTACGCTATAAAAGTTGGCTTTAAAAAGTATAACCAGTAACCCTTAAACAGTTCCTTAAAAGGGGTGGAATTCCATTCTATAAATATACCACAACATATGACATAGAACGTTGACCAGAAGGAAATGTCTCGATTCGATCTTGGTTGCTTATCCCTAAAGTTTAAAAAAAACACACACACACACGCACACTAACCGAAATACCACACCCTGTAATTAAAATGCGATTACAATTTAGTGCCGTCATTTTTCATCTCTAGAAATTGTTACGATTCGATCTTGCAATGAAATTTGTTAATTGAACTGTGATATACCGTTTGATAATGACTAGAGGAGACTAGTGAGTGTAATTGTATTCCATAGAACTGTATAATCCTGCTATCTCTAAAAGGTAAATAGAGCACACACCGAACAGACCACACATTAACAATTAAGAATAGACTGTAATTTTCTTTTTTTTTTATTACATTGGGTCGATGGAGTACAAAATCAAAAATATAACGAAACGAAACGTAACGCATATGGGGTGACACAAGTCACAAAGTGTAACTAATAATTATACTAGACTGTGTATTGAAACGTGGTTTGTAAATGTAACAGATGCCTAAACTTTGTTATTTGTCCTTCAATGATTTGTTTAGACGACCGGTTAAAGTGGGTGTGTAAGATATATTATAAAGAATAAAACTGGTTATGATATAATACATGATAGAGAGAGAAATGGGTTTTAACGTCCACTAACACCATATAGGTCATTTCGGGACTAACATCTGGTTCAATTTTATTTCAATAATTCGCTAGCTCGTAGAGGTTTTTAGCTGTGAGGGGAAACCGGAGGACCAGGAGAAAACATATGAGGTTGGGCAGGCGACCCTACTCCTTGTCACGTACAACCGGGGAATCAAAAGCACACTAATTGACATTCTGGTCCAATGCGCACGCGTTAACCATCACTCCAATACATCACATGGTATATTCACCATTAAAAAAACAAAACAAATTGTCCAGTCGACACTTGCCCTCGACGGCAATTGCCCAGTCCACACTTGCCCTCGTCGGCAATTGTCCGAGGCCCGAAATGCTTTAAATTATTTACATATTTGTGTTGAACCTTGGACTGCACCTTTAAACGGTACCTATAACCTGTTAATAATCTCTAATGTCGACCTATTTATTATATATCACCGTCATATTCTCCTGACAGTATGGATCCATTAATATTAACACACGCGATTCCTTTCCGACAACTCATCAACGCCTCTTGTTATTTGTGACACAGAAATCTTAATACGACCAGGCTTGGCTTTGATTTTCTTTAAAGTGCAACAATGATAAAATAGGAATGCTGCGAAGATATGCTTACCAAAATGATGCCACTGCTAAAGACCCCTACGCGGAAACGAATTATTGAAATAAAAATGAACCGTAGGTTAGTCCCGAAATGACCTAGTTTGTGTCGAGTGTACGCTTAAGCCTCCCTCTCCCCCTCATTTGCCGAGAAAGTTCATCCAGATTTTCCGGCGTGGTTTCCCCTTGTCAGTGATGCAGGACGGAGGGCCTGACAAGGACAGCTGTCTAGTCGTTCGGATGGTATGAAAAACCGAGGTCCCGTGTACAAATTGACGTGCACGTAAAAGATCCTTTGGGCAGATGGAATTCGATATAAGAGTAGGCCGTAGCGCCGCTGCCCGGGCGAAATTTCCCTCATAGCACACTGTATGGCTCATGCCCGTCTTCATTAGCCCAGTTTAGGAGCAGAACAGTAGGACGTTAAACCCCATTTCATTTCATTTCTCCCCCCCCTCTCTCTCTCTCTCTCTCTCTTGCACCATATTCCTTGTCAGACTGAAAACCCTAAAACAATATCTCGGCACTACACCGGGATCTACCCCAGACCTCCTGGATTGCGAAAACTGCTCACTTGTGAAGATGTCTATTTGAAAATATATTGCTACATTTGGTCCATATTTTCATATTATTCATTATAATTATCTGTATGCATCAACCATATCGCTTTTCATAAATCCCATTCTGTGAAACCCCCCGTATCTACACGCTGGGAGTTCTGTAGGACGGGCCCGTAGCCACGGGGTGGGGGGGCTATGGAGGGGGCTGAGCCCCCCAAAAATCGAATTAGCCCCCCATATATTTTGCCAACAATAATGATTTCTTAGGACCGTTCTTAGCCGGCCACACCCTCAGCCCCTCCAAAAAATTCCGTAGCCCCACCCAATTCTATGAGCTGGCTACGGGCCTGCTGTAGGCCATTCATTACATTAGAGACCCACCACTTTGACCAAATTCATCCATTAAGATAATTATGCTTTTGGATATTACATATTGTGAATATTTATGCTGATTAATACCAGCTTTGATATATGTTTGTTTCAAATTCGCCAGAGAATTAATTACTTTAATATTTATGAGATTGTATCTAAAACCATTTAGATGAATTATGATTGTTCATACCTATGAATCCTATAGATAATCAGGGGGGTTGGATGGCTGAATGGTTAGCACGTGCGCGCTGTATCATAATGCCTGTCATTGAGTCAACTGGCTTGGTTTCGAATCCCCGGTTGTACGTGACAAGGAGTAGGGTCGCCTGTCCAACCTCATGGGTTTTCTCCGGGTTCCCCGGTTTCCTCCCACTGCAAAAGAACCCTACGCGCAAGCGAATTATTGAAATAAAATTAAACCATATGTTAGTCCCGAAATGACCTAGTTTGTGTCGAGTGGACGTTAAACTCCATTTCTCTCTCTCTAAAGATAATCCCGCCGTGTCTTAGTGTACACACGTGGTTAGTGCTAAATGATAAGACCAGCTCAATTTTTCGTCATAGGTCACGAGATGTAAACAGGCCTAGCGATAATCCCAACCAAGGACCTTATTTTTAGAATATGCAATTATAAGTTTCTGTGTGAAGATTTTCAGATGATTTTCTTGGAGATCAGTATAGTGTTTCCTGATGATATTGGATGCACTTGCTGCTGTTGCGCTAAATGGAACTACAAAAGGGGCTATTGAGCTAGCCGTATGAATATTCAAACCTAGGGGGGCTGTTGTTTTCAATTTGTCAATCCAGAATTTTTCTCTTGTTAGCCTAAACGTTTTAATTTCTTCTGTAGTTTCAAAGTCGCTCTTGGTCTTTTCTATCGACAATGAGATCATTTAGCACTGACCGGCCATTGACTGCAAGATGAGTAAAGTACTAACTACGTCATTGTTGACCCGAACCAATTGATTTCAGTCAGTCCTTGACCTCAGTGCACAAAAGAAAGGGTGTACGCCAGGAGGATAGAATAACAAAGATACATGTCCCCGAATAGAACGTGCATATTTTATGAATGCGAGTTAAATGAGCCGGATGTTTACGTTTCGACTTTAAAGTAAGCCATAAAAAAACATACAATTCACATAGGAGTGTGTCCTAGAAATACGGTGGTAGGTGATCATACGTAGAGCTTGAAATATACGTACATATCCTTTAGATGTGTGTGGTCTGAAAAGATGTCGTCAGCGTCACGCGGGGCATCTGCTTATTAGCGTGGGGTTATGGCGGGGACTGGCTGAAGTTGGTTCTTTAACGTCGGCTTCCATTAGAGTGATATCGCGGGGGGCACCGATTTCTTGAAAGTGGTTGAGATGCTGAGCTAGCCTGGAGTGCGCGTGTTCGATCCCAGAATTAGCCGAGAAATTCCACCGGGGATTTTCCGACGTAGTTTCCCCCCGAGAAGCATAGCTGTCTAGTCATTCGGATGGTAAGGAAAACCGAGGTCCCATGTATACATTGGCGTGCACGTAAAAAAATCCCTTTGCGGTTGGAATTCGATATAACTGTCCCGGCCGTAGTTTCGTTACCTGTAGCAAAATTTCCCCCATAGCACACAGTATGGCGTATGCCCGTCTTCATTAGTCCAGTCGGGGCAGAGAAGTAGGACGTTAAACCCCATTTCATTTAAAGTGCCTCTGTGAGTCTAAGTCCGACCCTGGCGGATTCTATAAGGATACACAATACAATATGCCAAAATGGGACACCAACATGTAGATTGAAACATACGTCAGTGATGTGTGTGAGCTCTAAAGAAGATGGCTGCGTCACGCGGGCCACCTGTTTAGGAATGTGGCGGGTACTTTAGTACACGATACAATACCCAAAATGTGACACCAACATGCGCTGTATCATAACGTCTGTCATTGAGTCGACTGGCGTGGTTTCGATTCCCCGGTTGTACGTGACAACGAGTAGGGTCGCCTGTCCAACCTCGTGGGTTTTCTCCAGGTCCTCCGGTTTCCTCCCGCTGCCAAAAGACCCCTACGCACATGCGAATTATTGAAATATATTGAACCATATGTTAGTCCCGAAATGACCTAGTTTGTGTCGAGTGAACGTCAACCCTCCCCCTCTCTCTCTCTCTCCAACAA